ATCAACCAACTTTTTTAATAATAAAAATGTATTATTACTATTTAATTGTATTTTTTACTTTTAAAAGTTAAAATAATATATAAAATAAATCAAAATTAAAAAAAAAAAATTATAGACATCTAAGAACCATTTTTTTTTAAATAATTCTTATTTCTTTTTATTCTTTATATATTTATTTATTGTACAAATTTAGTAAAAAAGACAATCTACTATTTATGGCAATATATGTTTTGACAAAATTTGAGCATCTTTTGAGAAAGCTTTTAAAAAGATTGATGAAAAAACATATTATTCTTTGTAAAGAAAATTCAATAAAGATGGCTGATAGGACCAAGCAACCAACCTATTTTATCGAATAAAGTCGATTGTCAGTCATTACCCGACCCATAGTGGTCGGGTCAGTAATGGTGCTCAATATTCAACAAAATTACCTAGTCGACTTGGATAGATAATTGATCGATAATTGTCCGATTCGACCCATGTTCAGCCCTAGTATATACTACAAAAATAATTTTGAGTTGAGATGTTTGACCAGGACAAATTAATTAAATGTGGTATCTGTGTTAGTAGTATATTTGTGTCACCTATGTTTTCTATGTATCCTTATCGACTGTTCTTTGGTGGATAAATTCTATCAACAAATGTGCATGGCACTAGCTATGTGACAAATTGAACAAGATATATCATGTTATACCAATTTAATACATAAGTAAATGTTTATTACTAATTTAAGTTTTATTTTAGATAAAATTGTTCACTTCTGTTGTCGGTCTTTCAGCTCTTTAAGATTATTTAATTTTCCCCCTTTTGAATTAGAAATTGAATAGATGCTACTATTCAATTACGTACTTGAATTTGATGATATTTCAGTTATAGTTATCTTGTTTATTTATTTATTTTTCAAAATTTTACTTCTACTTCAATTTCGCCACGCGTTGGATCTTTTGTACATTATACAGCAGCAACCAGTGTAGTTAATATTGCCATATATAGCGATATTTATCATGATACAATATGATTTTTGTAGAAACGATGCAACTTTGTATATTTATTGATCGTAATCAAATACGATAAATATCGCTCGATATCGCGATATGATAGGATATTTACGATATTTGTTTTGAGGGAGATTGGTCGATTTTAAGCACATTTAGGGATGATTTGTATGATATTCGACAGAATCTTGAATGGTATGTGCGATTTTCAGCACATTGTTTTTAATGACAATTGTGTATAAGAACTACTAACATAAATACATGGATTCACATGCTTTGGTCTAATTCCTAAAATCATTTGTCAACTAATTAAAGAAATGAACAACTCATAGAATTGTCAATTTTATGCACAAATAATCACAAGCATGTGGAATAATTTGGAATTGAAACTTAAATAAATTCCAGCACCTAGTTCAAAAATGTACACATGGGGATCTGATAAAATCATCGATAAAAACATTATTTACCATACTCCCTCCATCCAGAATGGCATTTTATATTGTTGCGCGTATATTGAAAAAATCAATTAATAAATATGGATTATAGTAAAAAAAAAAAAGAAAAAAAAAAGTATAGAAAATCTCTAAAATACCCTTATTATTAATTTATTTTTTTCAATTAATGGAGAGTAATAATGGATAAAATTGAAAAAGATCAATTAATGCACCATTCGAATTGTAATATGACTAATAATTTGGGACAAATTTTTTTTATAAGGAAATATATTTTGGGACATGGGTGTAATTCCTAAGAAAACAATAATAATTGTTTGAATAATAAAAAAAAAATCGTAATAAAAGATGAAACGAGAACTTTGTGATTGAACATAGTGAAGCACGAATTCTCTTGATTTGAGGTAGTATTGTCCGCTTTAATGAGGTCTTGATTCTTCGTTTGTACGATTATTTCATCCCAATTTTCGGCTCTCAAGTATCAAGTTGTACTCTTTACTCTCTCTAAAGATGTGTTTCTTTTGAAATTACACGTTCAGTTCATATTCCTACTTCATAAATACAAAAACTAACTATATAAACTTATGATACTGCTCGATTGCCAGATTCTATTCATCGAGCGGTGCGGGCCTCAACTAGGATTTGTTGATGTTTCGCCACTCGAGGGCCACTTCCTTAAACTCAAGCAGTTTAAAACAGTTTGTTCTTTATTTCCTCCATCCATTTAGGCTCAAGCACAAACTTCATATCTCCATTCCAACCATTATAAAATCTATCTAAAAATGCAAAACTAACTATAATGAAATAAGCGTAATTTCGTAACACTAACATCTATAAATAGCATAATTGATTTGGATTATCATATTCATATACATCATCTTCTATGCTCTGTTAATCATGATCTCAAAAAAAATACTTTACAATTTGACAAGACTCATGCTAATTTATATCCAAGAATTAAATACAATCATAAAGGTTTTTAACAAATTAAATATCCCTTTGCAAAACACAAAATAAAAAAAATAAAAAAATCAAGATCCAAACTAAGCTATATACTCCCTCCGTCCCAATTTAAGTGACGTTTTGGGTTGTTGCACATGTATTAAGAAAATCAATAAATGTGCATAGATTATAGTGAAAAGCATAGGAAAATACTAATATATCCCTGACATTAATTATTTTACACTAACTAATTAAGAGTGATAAAGGGTAAAATTGAAAATAGTGCAATTAATGATTCATTGAAAATCTAAAATGACAAATAATTTGGGACAAAAAAAACTCTCTAAAAAGACATATAATATGGGACAGAGGGAGTAATATTCATCCTTTCCTAAATTTCTTAATTTGTAATATGTTATTTTCTGTATAGCTCAAAGTTCGAAAGACTGACAATTGAAAGATTTCAATTCTTGGAATTTGTCATTTGCTGCTATAATTAACAATTCCTTCCCGTGATCAATAATTGGGCGAAAAACACAAGCAAGAAAAAGAAGAAATTAAATTTATAAAGGCAAATTAAAAAATGACTACTCACAATTGAAATCAAAATCCAACCGTCCATTTATTTGTTAATCAAGTGGCTGAAATTTCATGGCCAGGATTGGCAGATGTCGACAATAAGACTTTTTAATTCACAGTATTTGACATCTGTCTTCACTTGCTTCCTTCATCCCACACAATCCTTCTTCGCCACTTCTTCTAAGAACCACAATAATATCTTTTCCAATTTTATCTACCCATTCATTTATTTATTAGAGTGTCGAAATTATTTTCCACATAAAAAAAAATTGTCCTGAAAACAAAAATCTAGGGGTGTTCATTCGGTAATACTGTCCCGTACCAGAGTGTCGGTAAACCAAGATTTCGATACTTCAAAAATATGCACAATTTATTTTACCGGACTATTTGGCTCGGTACGGTTTTTTACTCAAGTACTTCGGTTCGGTATCGGTAAAACCGAAAATATATTTTAACATTTTAAAAAATGAATAATTAAAAATATTTAAACTAATTAATTCTTAAATTTGACATTCAAATATTAAAAGAGGTTAATTTGTAAATACTAGAAAAATTATCAGTCTAAAAGTATTTTATAATTTGTTATAATCTTTAAAAAGAAAAAAATGCCAAAACACCGGTACGGTACAGTATTCCTAGACCTGACCCCGGTTCGGTTCCGGTTCCGGTTCCTAACCGCCGGTTCCGGTTCCGATTATGGAGGAACCGGAACCGAACCGAAAAAATCTTGTTCCTTGCAGTTCGGTTCCTAACCGGTTCCGGTTCGGTTCCCGGTTAGAACCGGTAGAACCGCCGGTTCTTAATAATAATTTTATTTTATTTTATATGTATATATATATATATATATATATATATATACACTTTAAAAAACTTAAAAAAAACACTTTTAAAAATAGTTTTTTTTTTTTAAGTGGAAAGTATATTTAAAAAACTTAATTTTTTTTAAATAAGTAAATTTTTTTCTTAATACTTAAATATATATATATATATATATATATAGAGAGAGAGAGAGAGAGAGAGAGAGAGAGAGAGAGAGAGAGAGAGAGAGAGAGAGAGAGAGAGAAAGATATATATATATATATATATATAGATATATATATATATATAGAGAGAGAGAGAGAGAGAGAGAGAGAGAAAGCTAGGAAATTATTTTTTTTTTTTAAAC